ATCGTTAATACAGTTGGTCACTCAACAATATCACTGAGGTGGGATAAGAGAGTCTTTCCCCCTTGTCATAGTCATTTGTCTTGGTCAAAGTAGTGTCCAGCTGAACGTTAACCACTCTACACCGCTGGCAGAGGTGGGTTTGCTTGTCCCCTCTGCCCAAGTGGTCGTTGATCTTTGTTACACTGGTGGCAGCGGTGGGATTGTTTGTCCCCCCTTCCTAGTGGTCGTTGATCTTTATTATACCATGGTCAGGCATCCAGACAAAGTGGCCGGTCCAGCAGAGTTGATGGCGGAGGACCATTGCTTCAATCCTGGTGGTCTTTGCTTCTTCCAGCACACTGACATTTGTCCACTTGTCTACCCAAGAGATTTGCAGGATTTTCCAGAGGCAGCACTGATGGAATCATTCTAGGAGTTGCATGTGACGTTTGTAGACAGTCCACATTTTGCAGGCATATAGCAGGGTTGGGAGGACAATAGCTTTATAAACAACCACCTTGGTATCTCTATGGATGTCCTCAAACACTCTCTGCTTCATTCGGAAAAATGCTGCACTCGCAGAGCTCAGGCGGTGTTGTATTTCGGTGTCAATGTTGACTTTGGTGGAGAGGTGGCTGCCAAGGTAGCAGAAATGGTCAACATTTTCTAATGTTACACCATTAAGCTGTATTTCTGGCATTGGAGAGGGATTGGCTGGTGACTGCTGGAAGAGCACTTTGGTTTTCTCGATGTTTAATGACAGGCCGAGCTTCTCGTATGCTTCTGCAAAGGTGTTTAGAGTGGCTTGTAGGTCTTCTTCTGAATGTGTACATGTGGTATTTATGAATAACCATAAGGGTCTTACTTATTCATAAATACCACAACATGTTGATTCAGTAGAGGTGCAAAAGGCTGAGGCTGTGGAGGAAATTTTGCTGTTGCTACCAGCCTTAATGATGTCCCCCCACCCCTCCCCTTTGATCAATTCATCAGCATAACTTGGTGCAGTGGTGAGAACAAAGTTGCCTGCTCCAGTGTGCAGCATGTCTTCCCCTCATTGCATTCAGTCCAGAGCTCTGAACAGATTTTTGATATTATAGCTTCCAAAATTCTTTAGCCATCATGACAGGTAGCTGTGCTTGTATGCTGATAGATCTTTAGAACTGTGGTTCAAAAAGTCATGTTCTCCAACTCAGATTTTGTTGCTTTGAATAAAGCAACATAACTTCCAAGGTAGTCAACACGGATAAACATCAGCAGTTCTTTTATTTAACTGTTATGTCATGCTCTCAATGTCCTTACCAACATTCAGCCAAGACAGCCCAATTTTCCAAAAACAAATTGAAAAAAAATCTGTACATTTGTTTATGCTGATGAAGAAATCCAGGGATTCGATAACCATGTTCTTTGCCCACTATGTTAGGTCATGGTCCCAAAGTATGATTTGCTTATATTGAGTTCTGCCCCAGGCTCATTCCTTCATATAAGCTGTTGTTTAAACCCATGGATCTCAACCTTTGGTCCTCATCCTTCACTGCCCAGAAGGCCCAGCCAGAATAATCAATCGTTAGCATTTTTGGGAGATGAAGGCCAAAATGTCCCTAGGACCAAAGGTTTCCTGGAACCACAAACCCGCCCCTATCTCTCTCTTTCTCTCTTATACTTCACCTTCATCGTTCCATGGGACCCAAAACAGCTTACAGTGAATTGTTGAAGGCTTTAATGGCTGGAATCACTGGGTTGTTGTAGGTTTTTCAGGCTGTGTTGCCATGTTCTAGAAGCATTCTCTTCTGACGTTTCACCTGCATCTATGGAAGGCATCCTCAGAAGTATGGCAGGCAATCTCTGAGGATGCCTGCCACAGATGCAAATGAAATGTCAGGAGTGAATGCTTCTAGAACATGGCCACACAGCCCAAAAAAAACCCTACAACAACCCAGATTACAGTGATTTAAAAAAAGCTTTGAACAAGCAATTGAACAAAATATGATGTTATAAAAACACATAAGACAGGTTAAATACATTTAGAAGATAAAAGGCTGCACACTAGTATGAAAACACTGTTCTACAACACAACTTAAGAATCAATGGCCTGCTTAAATAGAAAGGTCCTTGCCTGTTCGAGGAAAGAAAGGGGACTCAATGGACTTCTTTCCATGAGAGGCCTATGGAGTTTCACAACCAAGGAGAAACCGGTTGCCTGGTGTCCTCTCTCCTATGTCTTCATCAATCTAGAGAAAGCCATTCCTCAAAGGTTTGAGCCAACTCATACAGGGAGATGCAGGCTTTTAGAAAATTTGGACCAAAGCCACATAGGGCTTTAAAGATCATAACTCCCAATGTACTGGTTTAAACCACTGCTTATCTTGGAATGAAAAAGTCTTTCAGTCAGTTGATGCTGGCTGGAAGGGATGGGAAATGTAATCTAAAACATCTGAAGGTGTCAAGTTGCCAGAGACTATGTGGGACTGAGATAGGAAACCATGGCTTTCCAAGTTTTTGTTCTTGGACTTCCAGAAGATGCAGCCAGCATGTCTAGTGGTAAGAGATCAAAGGAGCCCCCATTCCTGACTGAGCCTAAAGTATCTAACCTGAAAAAGGACACATCTATGATACACTTATTGGGTTAATCCTTTTCTCCCAAAATGTGAATTATTCAGCTGAGTATCTTTGGTACACAGGGTGAGTAACCCTGATTAAAATGGAAGTATCTTCACAGGAATCATGCATTTTAATTATGTTTTGATGCCACAGTCGAATGTCTGGGTGGTTCGCACAGCAAGTACTGAGTCAAGTACACGATGCTGCAGTTTTAAACATGCTGGGAATTTCAGGTTTGATGTTCTTAAAAGAAGTGACATCTTTGATTGTAAATATATATGTCCCTGTTTTTCAAAGTTATGGAAAGTGAATAATTATAAATAACTGCAAAAGGAGATGATAGATTTTTCCAGACAAGATAACAAAGCTGGTTGCAGCCTCAGCAGTTTCGGACAATATATTTTATAATTTTGAAATTAAAATATTTCTTTTTCTTTTTGGTTATATGCCTTCAAGTCATTTCTGATGTGTGGCAATTTGTTCAGAACAGCGTTCCTCAACCTGGGGGTTTGGACCCCTGGGGGGGTTGTGAGGGGGTGTCAGAGGGGTCGCCAAAAATCTTTAGAAAACACAGTATTTTCTGTTAGTCATGAGGGTTCTGTGTGGGAAGTTTGGCCCAATTCTATCATTGGTGGGATTCAGAATGCTCTTTGATTGTGAACTATAAATCCCAGCAACTACAAGTCCCAAATATCAAGGTCTATTTCCCCAAACATCACCAGTGTTCACATTTGGGCATATTGAGTAGTTTGGTCCAGATCCTTCATTGTTTGAGTCCACAGTGCTCTCTGGATGTCGGTGAATCACAACTCCAAAACTCAAGGTCAATGCCCACCAAAGCCTTCCAGTATTTTCTGTTGGCCAGGGAAGTTTTGTGTGCCAAATTTGGTTCAGTTCCATTGTTGGTGAAGTTCAGAATGCTCTTTGATTGTAGGTGAACTATAAATCCCAGCAACTACTACTCCCAAGTGACCAGTGTTCACATTTCGGCATATTGCGTATTGGTGCCACGTTTGGTCCAGATCTATCATTGTTTGAGTCTCTGAATGCAGGTGAACTACAACTCCAAAACCCAAGGTCAATGCCCACCAAACCCTTCTAGTATTTTCTGTTGGTCAGGGGAGTTCTGTGCGCCAAGTTTGGTTCAATTCCATCGTTGGTGAAGTTCAGAATGCTCTTTGATTGTAGGCGAATTATAAATCACAGCATCTACAACTCTCAAATGACAAGGTCTGTTTTCCCCAAACTCCACCAGTGTTCACATTTGGGTATATTGAGGATTGGTGGCAAGTTTGGTCCAGATCTAGTATTTTTTGTGTGCCAAGCTTGGTTCAGTCCATCGTTGGTAGAGCTGAGAATGCTCTTTGAATGTAGGTGAACTATAAATCCTAGCAACTGCAACTCCCAAATGACAAAATCAATTCCCCCACCAACCCCACCAGTATTCTAATTTAGGCGTATCGCGTATTTGTGCCAAATTTGGTCCAGTGAATGAAAATAAATCCTACATATCAGATATTTACATTATGATTAATAACAGCAGCAACATTAGAGTTATGAAGTAGCAATGAAAATAGTTTTATGGTTGGGGGTCACCACAACATGAGGAACTGTATTAAGGGTTTGCGGCATTAGGAAGTTTGAGAATCACTGGTTCAGAATGGGTTTGCCAGTGGTTTTGTCTGAGGCTAAGAAAATGTTTCTCCAGAAGAGATTTGAACCCCGGTCTCCAAAGTTATAGTGTAGTACTCAAACAACTATACCAGGCTGGCTTTCTATTTTTAAACCACTCTATATCCAAAGATCTCAAGATTGCTTAGAATAAAACCAATTTAAAACAATAAATAACAACAAAATGTTGAAAAGCCTGAACATATTTCAAATAATTTAACAACTAAAAGCCAGATAATTTCAAACCAGTTAACATCACCTTAACCATGCCAACTATAACACAGGAATGAAGTGAATAAAATGAATTAGCTCCAGTCAGACACTCTGTTCACTTGGCCTCACGTGATGCTAAATTTCTCAGGGGGAAATTGATGTAGAGCCAAGTACACGATGCTGCAGTTTCACCTCACCTACCTCAAAGTTGTTCTAAGGATAAAATGGAAACATCCCTTGCACTCTGTTCCAAGTGTGTGGGGGTAATAAGAGTTTGATTAAATGGCATATCTCAATGCAAATGCACAATATGGATTTTTCTAGTATGTACATATAAATAACTCTGTAAACTTCAGAAATATTAGTTCAGAAATAATAGAGAAGTAGCCACTAGTGGGAAATGCATTTCAAGACAGGGTAGCATTTTTATGACTATTCTGGACTCTTATGTTTCATACAACGTATTGAATGTTTGTATCGACTGAGAAATGTTTTTGTATCCTAAATCCTTGGGTCTTTATATTTTGTTTCTTCAGATCCCAGGGTCAGAGGATGGCTTATGCTGGATTCCTGCTTACCAACCCTTTTCCTCACTTTTTTATACCTGGTCTTCATATTTCTGGGCACCGCTTTCATGAAGAACAGACCAGCTTTGTCACTCAGGGGTCTCCTTATTGTATATAACCTTGGAGTTACAGTGCTTTCCTTTTACATGCTTATAGAGGTAAGCCTTCTTAAATGCAATTTTGTCAGACTTTGGGTTCAGCTGGGTGAGATTTAATCAAAGTTGTTTTCTTTGTATGAGAAAATACTGCCCCCCCCCCTTCTATAGTATGAGAATGAATCACACAAGAGAATGAATCCACTTAAAATCTAGTTTCTGCCTCCTGCAGAATTCTGGGGTTTGTAGTTTAGGGAGAAGCCTTTAACAGCCTCACTAAACTACAAACCCCAGAATTCTGCAGAACACAGAAACTAGATTTAAAGTGGATTCATTAAAGTGGATTCATTCACAGAAACTAGATTTAAAGTGGATTCATTCTCTAGATGAACATTGTTTAAACAATTTTCCTAGTTTTCAACAGACCTCACAACCTCTGAGGATTCCTGCCATAGATGCAGGCAAAACATCAGGAGAGAATGCTTCTAGAACAGCGTTTCTCAATCTAGGGGTCGGGACCCCTGTGGAGGTTGTGAGGGGATGTCAGAGGGGTCACCAAAGACCATCAGAAAACACAGTATTTTCAGTTGGTTATGGGGGTTCTGTGTGGGAAGTTTGGCCCAATTCTATCATTGGTGGGGTTCAGTAAGCTATTTGATTGTAGGTGAACTATAAATCACAGCAACTGCAACTCCCAAATGCCAAAGTCTTATTTCCCCCAAACTCGACCAGTATCGACATTTGGGCATGTTGAGTATTTGTGCCAAGTTTGGTCCTGATTCATTATTGTTTGAGTCCACAGTGCTCTCTGGATGTAGGTGAACTACAATTCCCAAACTCAAGGTCAATTCCCACCAAACCCTTGCAGTATTTTCTGTTGGTCATGGGTGTTCTGTATGCCAAGTTTGGTTCAATTCCATCATTGATGGAGTTCAGAATGCTCTTTGTAGGTGAACTATACATCCCAGCAACCACAATTCCCAAATCACAAAATCAATCCTCCTCACCCCACCAGTGTATTGGGTATTTGTACCTTATTTGGTCCAGTGAATGAAAATACATCCTGCATATCAGATATTTACATTACGATTCATATCAGTAGCAAAATTACAGTTATAAAAAAGCAACAAAAATAATGGTTGAGGGTCACCACAACATGAGGAACTGTATTAAGGGGTCATGGCATTAGCAAGGTTGAGAACCACTGTTCTAGAACATGGCCATATAGCCCGAAAAACCTACAACAACCCAGTGATTCCGGCCATGAAAGCCTTCGACAATACATTGTTTAAACAGTTCCTTCCTCTCTACTTTCATTGTGTAACTATTGCTTCTCTTTCTAACCCTGTGACAGGAGCTGGGAATTTTTAATAGTTTAGATACATTGTCCTACAACTATACTGGCCATATTGTTCAGACTTCTGGGGATTGCAGTATGAAACAACTGGAGAGTCAGAAGTTCCTCACCATCAACTCTGTGATCTCTTCAGGGAGGGTTTTTTCTTCCCCGAGGCAGCTTTGTAGCAGCACAAAGGATTGGCCTGAGCGACCTTCATGTGGCTTCCAGGACTATCTCTCTATAATCTATGTTTTGAGGCACAGCATGTGTATAAGCAGCTTCTAGTGCCACCATTTTTGACCTGTGAGATAAAATGCATAGCTGCCGTAGCCTTGGCTTCAAACGGCAAGCTACATTTTATACACAAAATATTGGAATTTAAGTCCTAGTGCTACGTTTTTCTGGGGGGGAAATCCGCTTTGGGAGAAGCCACTTTGAAAAGGAGATCAGTTAGAAGAACATGCTTGACCTTTTCTCTGTTGTTTGTCTTCCCCAAATTGTATCATCCTCTAAACTCACTGCTTTCTGTGATAAGGCCGGGAAGGCAATAGCGTTTGTCTTTAGTTTCTATGTCATTTTATTAGACATGATTAGATCTTCTCATTTTACAAAATCTGTGAACCTGTGAGATTATTGCCATCAGTTCACATAGAAGCTGACAGTCTCCATCAGAAACATGATGGTTGAAAGCAGGTCTCCATAATTGGCCGCAAACAAGGGCTGCTTGGCTTCTGCAGAGCTTGGCAGAGGTTACATATTTTTGCATCACAACTTCTAGAACCTCCCAAAAGTTACTAGACCAATACAATACAAAACTCTATTAGGGTCCATGGCCAGCACAAAGTGGGACACAAGTGCCCTGGGAAGAAGAAACACAGTTCCCTAGTGAGGCAGCTATTAAAAAACGGATTAGAAAACAGCCAAAAATGAAGTTTTACTAGACCAGTGGTTCTCAACCTGTGGGTCCCCCAGATGTTTTGCTCCCAGAAATCCTTAACTGACTGGGATTTCTGGGAGTTGTAAGCTAAAACATCTGGGAACCCACAGGCTGAAAACCACTGAACTAGACCAAAAAGGAAGTTTTTCCAGGGTCTGTCTCAAGTATGCTTTCTAATGAGTCCATCACTGCTGAACATTCTCCAGGCAATTTGGAAATAGACAGGTTATTGCCAAAGCACTTTATTTAAAAAGACCAAGAATTTTAAATGCCATTATTTTGAACATCACTCACATCTCCACATAGTGGTTGGTTACTCGAGATAGTAATTACATTTTGGATATTCAATATTAGTTGTATATTTTTCTACATTCAAGTAACCGAGTTCTCTGGCTCTCTGAAGCACTAGAAGCTGCGATCTTTAAGTACGGGCTGCATTATATCTCTGCAGCCCATCTAAAACCATGGATTAAACAGTAGCTCTTTGAGGATCATCTAAAAATAGGCAACCTACATAGAAAAGCAGGGCTTCAGTAAAGCAGGAACTCTGGAGTACAGAGTTCTCTAACTTCCTGAGTAAGGCAGAAATGCAGTGGTGCACCTTGTCTCCTGATCTGGCTTGTTAGATTCTCAACTAGTCATCGCCACCGTTCCTTCTCAACACAGTTCAAAAGGAACAGACTTCTCCCTTCAGCACAAGTCATGGGTGTAGTTTAAACATTCTCTATACTTTCCCAAATGTTTTCCCAAACAGAAAGGTTTATTGTCGAAGGCTTTCATGGGTGGAATCAATGGGTTGTTGGTGGTTTTTCGGGTTGTATGGCCATATACTAGAGGTATTCTCTCCTAACATTTTGCCTGCATATGTAGTAAGCATCCTCAGAGGTTGAGAGGTTTGTTGGAAACTGGAAAATTGAGTTTATATATCTGTGGAAGGTCCAGGGTGGGAGAAAGAACTCTTGTCTGTTGGAGCTAGGTGTGAATGTTTCAATTGGCCGCCTTGATTAGCATTTGATGGCCTGGCAGTTTTTAGGTGCAACTTGTTACTGCCTGGGAAATTTCCTTGTTGACAGGTGACCAGGTATTCCTGATTGTTTCCTGGCAGGAGTTCCCCTGTGTTTGAGTTTTGTTTTTCATTTACTGTTATAATTTTAGAGTTTTTTAATACTGGTAGCAAGATTTTTTTCATTTTGATTGTTTCTTCCTTTCTGTTGAAATTTTCCACATGCTTGTGGATTTCAGTGGCTTCTCTGTGTAGTCTTACATGGTAGTTGTTAGAGTGGTCCAGCATTACTGTGTTCTCAAATACTATGCTGTGTCCAGGTTGGTTCATCAGGTGCTCTACTATGGCTGACTTCTCTGGTTGAAGTAGCCTGCAGTGCCTTTCATGTTCCTTGATTCGTGTTTGGCAGCTGCGTTTGGTGATCCCTATGTAGACTTGTCCACAGCTGCATGGTATCTGGTAGACATCAAATGCTAATCAAGGTGGCCAATGGAACCTAGCTCACCTAGCTCCAACAGACAAGAGTTCTTTCTCCCACACTGGACCTTCCACAGATATATAAACCCAATTTTCCAGTTTCCAACAAACCTCACAACCTCTGAGGATGTTTGCCACAGATGCAGGCGAAACATCAGGAGAGAATGCTTCTAGAACATGGCCATACAACCCGAAAAACCTACAACAACCCCGAAAGGTTTATATCATCTATGAAAGACTCTAATTCCATGCTATAGAGAAGCAGCATGTTTGAGGAAAGCCTGAATTGTCTCTTTGTTCTTGCTGTCTGAGCTAGCTCCAATTGTACCTGTTAACGTATGTTAAACTAGTGATCCTCAATGAGAGAAACAGCATCCATACAGACATATGCATAGCTTTCCACATTTTACAGTTGAATGCTAGGACCATGTAGCCAAGCAACATTAGAGGGTGATTGAGATGGCAAAACACATTAAGGGGGAGAAACACATAAGCTAGAACAGACTGTACAATGCTTTGCCTTTGCTTATGCTGGGTTAACAAAGTGAAACTCCTTGTGCGCTTTGTATGCGGTTTGTGGAAACCAAAGTGAGCTGAGGCTAAAGGAGAAAATGGGAAAAGAAAGAACCTGGGACATTAAAAAAGCGGGATGAGCGAGGATTAATCAGAACTGCCCCTACCAAACTAGGACATTTGGAGGTTATGCATTTGTCAGACTCACTGAAATGAGATTTGCTATATATGCACACATCCACTGTGTACATCTATGTACATCTGCCTTTGCTGAATGAACACATCTTTCTTGTGGAGCAGAAAGTTTCTGCTTAGATGTGGTGCACTATTTGCAGTTTATATACTTAGCGTATTGCCATACAGCTTGTGCTGTGTTGAAGTGGCTGCTCTTGTCTTGTTCACTTTGTTTTGTCTTTACTTTGGAATGAGTTCAGTGGGCAGTCTACTTCGTAAATGTACTAGATGCTCTTTTCTTGCAGAGTGGGGTGGTTTGCATTGACCAAGTGAATTTTCAGGAATGGCTGTGAATTTGAAACCTTCTCTTTCTCATACTCATATACACATGTTCACAGAGCCAAGAGACAGATGCTCGTAACAAAGCTGTCATTATGAATAAAGTCCATTTATATTTGGATTGCAAAATAGAGGCCATTGACTCCTGTTACAATGAACACTTGTTAATCAGGTCATCTGAGGGAACATATTTTCCCCCTAAGACGAAAGAACAGGATGTTTTGCTATTGAGTTGAATTCTGTAGTGTTTTATTATCCAGGACCTAATAGTAAACCTAGCC